TTTTTCATACATGTATGGAAATAAATTCATATGTTACATACATAGAGGTTCATACATTACATGTTTTCTGTATTACCTACTTTCTGTGCCCTAGTGCTGACTTTTTATCTTGTCACGCCTGAATTGTCTACAATTTAAAAATTGATCAAGAACAATTACACGTATATAAATCAACATTAAAAAAATCCACTTTCATAATAGCACAATAAATATGTAATCCTTATCATTAGTTGTATGAATATTACCCTCCTCTATCATTGAGAAATTATTCTCTTTGATTTATCTAAATTTTTCCAATACTATAATAAATAATTACCAGTTTATATTTGACTTTCTTTCTTTTGTTCTTTTGTTTATCTTTAACTTATAGGGAAGGAGTTTGCCCAGTGGTTCCTTTATTTTTGTCATCAGCACTATCTTTTCGTGATTTTTTTAATACACTTGTGAATTTTTACTATAACTCCAATAAATAGATATATCAGGTTTTTTACCATGTCTCCTTTGTCTTCATATGAGCTAATAGAACTGTTGATTGAACAATTGATACTCGTACTCCTATATATAAATGCAATAATTCATTAGAAAAGGGAAGACTCTATACAAATCATAATTTTCAAGTATTAATTAATCTACATAAATTTATCAAACCAGACAATTTGTACAAATCATAAATGAAAGTATCAATTGTCATCACAGTCCACGAGCCTTCCTCAATCATGGCAGTCAATTATTTGTCATTTCCTTACATTGAAAAAAAATCATATTAACTTTAATAACTATTCAATGATATTAAGATTTTCTATAATTTTACCAGCATGGAAAATAAAAACCATCTAAAGTATTGTCATGTAATGTGATTGTGATATCAGTAGTTTCATAATGGACACAAGGAAATCAACATCACAATTGTATTCAGATAATAATATTCCACATAACTTTATCTTTACTCAAAGTCCTATTCTGGAAATTCTTCACTTCTGGACAAATACGGTTCCTGCCAAAAGAGCGGGGAGCATTAGCACCACCATTAATGTTGAGATTAAACTAGAATGTGGTTTAGATTTACTAGATTGACAACTTGTAACATGTTGAGACTCACCTTTTATTTTGGCTCCAAATTTTCACATGATCAATAGTATCGCTCTGTGAATCCTCTAATAAATTATTACTTCATGCTTCACCTTTTCTTTCGAGGATGACACTAATAGTGAAATATTTTTTTTATTAGAAAGCTTATCATTTTGCATCTTTTCTCTTTATTTTTGTTCACTACGCTTCTTCTCTCTCTTGCTTTCACATCTCTTTTTTCTTCTCCTTCTAGCTTGTTGATCTCTTTCCTTTCTCTTTTTTTGGCCAGCTCTTGCTTTCTTTATAATTTTCTCAAAGTTCCATGAAGAATTCTGCCAAAAAAAATTCTGGTTATAGCAAAAGATTGATGGGAAAACATGTTGCTTGCAAATTATGCAAGTAGTTTTGACTCCTTTGTAATATTAATATTATCGTTATTTCCCTAATGATGTTGAATTGAATATTTCAAGGTTCTCTGTATATCAGTCAAGTATTTTACCAAATTTGGAAATCGAATCTAGAAAAATTGGAACCCCCTTGTTGATCAATTCATATATGTT